AAAATTCAAGCTTGAGCTCTTATATATACATTGAAAATTGTTTGTACTTTTTTCTATTTTTGAGACAGTTCAGCTGGTGGAAGACAAAAAGTTTTAAAAAAGAGCAAGAGAAAAAGAAGGACCTCCCTTGCCGTCAGAGATCAATCAGATGCTTTTTATTCAGAAATATCCACTGGCTTAGGTGGCTCTTGGCTGTTTTATAACGAGTTTCTAATGACACTGAGTTTTTTAATATTGAAAAAGCCATTCATAAGGCACAAGGATGTTGTTCTGGAGAGAGAAAGAATCCTCAGACTACATTACTAATATTAAACTGTTACTAAATATTTTGGTGACCGTAGCTACCAGGATACAGAAATTTGTCCCAATCAACTCATTTACGTAAAATATTCTACTTCAGGAGAAACAATGTAAAGAGGAATTTGGGAGAGAAAACAATTTTTTAGCCCTGCTAAAAATATTGGATTCCAATATATCTGGTTATTTGGTATCATGAAGTAGAAAATAGTGTACTGCCACTTCTTTGCCATTTATGAGAATGCCATATTTGCTCTGCTCTAGATATTTAACCCAATAAAAATGCTTTCTGTATTGTAATCCCAAAATGATTGGCAGGAATGATTTTTCTACCCTGTGTTTGTAGTTTTAAATACAAGTAGAAGGTTATCAAAAAACTTACACAATAAATATAAGGAAGTGCTCATAAACAATGTAAGAGTACAGACAAATTTTGTACTATTGTAAAAGGACGAAAATAAAAGTAGTAGTATTCTGGCATAGGAACTAACAGATTAAAGCTAAAGGACCTAAGCCAAATGGTGAAGCCATGTAGATAACGTCATTCTTCACATCCAGAAGGAGGTTACCCTACCTGTGAGGGAAGTGCTGACAGGATGTTTATGTCGGATTGAAGTCAGATATAATTTGGGTAAATGAGGGAAGGAAAAGGGTGTGTAAATAGGAAGTCCCTTAAATTTGTTTAATTTCCTTCATTCTCTTTTTATTGTAACTTTTTTCATACCTCAAGGGCAAACTTTTATCCATGCAAGACTATTAAAACATAAAACAAATGAATAGTCTTCATACGTCTCAGCTATTTGTATAAACATTCACCTTATTTTTACTTCTTTATTTACATTTTTTAGGAAAATGTAAGCAGAAATGTCATTGTCCTTTGGTAGTATATGTTTATTCCAAGTGGTAGTGTAAGTTCACAAAATCTTTAATTGTGAGTTGATTAGTTTTTTCTAAAGTACATGAGATGACACTTTTCCAGCATTATCAGCACAGCTGTTAAAAGATTCAGGGGAAGACTTGTTGAGAATGACTTTAACTCTAGTCACTTAGAAGCTGATGCTTACTGACATATTGCCCTCAAGTAGCTGCAGAAAAAAAAAAAACCATGCAAATGTAATGATAGCTTTGTTATAGACATTGAGTAGAGGCGAAGAGACTGTTTTGTAATAATTAAATACCTATAATGAAATCATATAATCAGTTTATTCCCCATTTCTCCCCCCATTTCACTAATTTATTATTTGAAATATACCACAGAAAAATTAGAAAAGCAAGATGAGAATTTTAATGGATAGTTTCTTCTTGTCAGAGAAGTATATGGAATGGCAGTGTGAATAATTAGCTGATTACATTGCTGTAGAGCACAACACACTGAGTAAGAGTTGTTGTGTGACCCCAGTATAGTTCTTTGACATACCATTGAAACTGGTCAAAGGCCTTACTGAATCATAGAATTGCTCAGGTTGGAAAAAACCTGAAAGATCATTAAGTCCAACCGCAACCTAACCATATTACCTTAACAACCCACCGTTAAATCATGTCCCTGAGCACCACATTTAAATGGATTTTAAATACAGTCAGGGAAGTCCAGGAAGATGACATCTGTGGCTCTTCCCTTGTCCACTGGTGCAGTGGCACCATAATAAAAAACCACATGGTTGGTCTAGCAGGATTTGCCCTGGTGAAGCTATGCTCATTCTTCTGTATCACCTCCTTGTCTTCCATGTGTCTTAGCATAGCTTCCAAGAGGATCTATGCCAGTCACTGATCCTTTCATTCATGCGTATTAATTCTGTTTGAAAGAACAGTGCTGTACTTGAATGGACAGGACATGTCCCTACCAGAGGACCAGATTATTAAAAAGGAACTCAAATGAACATTATCTGCAACATTTGAAGTAAGCCAGAATTTAAATCAGTGAAGCTAGCCGCATAAACAAAAACAAGTGTTTAGAAAATCAGATGCTTTGGATCTTTTTCTCAAAAAAAAAAAAAAAAAAAAAAAAAAAAGAAATAAAACAATAGAATATTTACAGCTCCTTTAGTGGGAATAAATATGCTTTGGCAAGAAAATAGTTTTGCTCTATCTGATTTATCTGGCATGGCAGAAGGATTTACACAACAAAAGACAAAACCATTTTGTAAAATTGAATGCAATGTGTGTTTACAAACTGGACATTTCCTCTTGTCCCTGTGAATAACATACGGATCTTGCATGCTGTTTTAGTTCACAACACCTGTGATGAATTATTTGTAAATGCAATGAATAACATTACTAGGAACATGTCAAATTATACGTTGATAATGAATTTTTGGATGCATCTGCTATGTAATTGTTCCCAGTGGATGTGTATTCATCTTCACCTGGCATTATTTTCCTGATTTTGGGGTTTGTTTTTTATTATGCATTTTCATTTCCATCATAATTGCTACAGTGATCCCTGTTCCTTTGTTCTAATCAGTTCTTTAATAGTGTTGCACATTCTGAACAAAAGAGGAGGGGAAAACACTAGGCTATTGGCAAAACAAAACACTGGTCTTTATTTGTGACTTTGTAAGTGCCTGCTTGGCCTCAGAAGGTTGGGTGGTGTTGATAGGGACCAGTTGTTTTCCTGAGTGTGTCTGCCAGCTGCTCCAATCATGTGCTCAACAGAATAGTAGGTGAACAAATGCTAAAGGCTGCTCTGCTGACAGACAGGTACATGCTGCTTTTACCGAGTGCATCTGAGATTCTTTTAAAAAGGTAAATAAAGCAAATTAGTAACATTAGACACTATCTTATTTTTTTTTCATAACACTCTGATACAGAAATACTCATAATGAAAATATCTGTCATCAGCTTATGGTTTCAGTGAGCAATCCTACGTTAATTGTGTTTATACAAACTTTCTGTATAATGTACTGTTTATTACCCAGAGGTAATTTTTACTTTGTAGAGTGTACTTGTCTCTCAATAGCAGTAATCTGAAAAAGCAGACAAAATTACTGATCAAATACTGGATCTATGTAGGCAGAACTTTTAAAATAAAATTTTACATGTTTTAATTCAATAAATCACTTACAACATCTGCCTAGAATTGTTTTTAATTCTGAAATGTTTCCTCTACGCTTTCTTCCGACTCCTACACCAGCACATACAGCAGCTGACATTTCTCTGTTGCACTGGGCAGCAGGCTGCACCACATGGACAGTTTTAGACAGAAAAAGAACAGACTGGTTCCAGTCTTTTCTAAAGGTTCGGCTTTTCTGTTCTATGGTAATTTTCAAGAGAACAAATCACAGAACTTCATATCTACACTTTCTTTTTTTTTTTTTTTTTTTTTTTTTTTTAATTCAGAGAAAATTGAGGGAAAAAAACAACAGCAATAACAAACCAAACACCAGGTTTTTCCCTGACTCTGAATATTGTCAGGTGGAAATTAAAAGTGAAAATAAAAATATGAAAAACAAATCTTAACAAAAAAATAAAGAAATAAAGAAATAAATGAAAAATGCTTCCCTCAAACAACATCCTTTCACTGCTTTTTTCCTTCCTTCCCTCATGATAATAACTGGTCTGAGGCTGCTATTTAGAAAAATACTCCATTCTCTTTTGTGGAGGTCTGACTTGGAACCCACTCTCTACTAGGCTGCCTGACTTTGAAACACCCATTGGCATTTTTTTGTTTTTTAATGTATTCTTATAAATATTTGTAGATTGCCATGCTCTGCCTGTCAGTTTCATGAGGTTTTTAACAATCATTTATAAGAGGCTGCTTAAAAAAAAGAATAAAAAATCAAAATATTTGATTTCATGAAAGGAGATAAAATATGAAGGTTAAATACAACCAGTCTCTTGAATCAAGTGGGAAACATTTGTATTCAGAATCATTTTAATCTGTTATTTCCCCTGCGCTTTAACTTCAGTCTCATGGTGTGCAGCACTGCATGCAGCTACACAGTACACACCTAGATGTTTCTTTAACAGTGAAAGTGAAAAATAAACTTAGTGTTAATCAACAGACAAACATTACTTTGCATTAATTTTTACAGGACTACAGAACATGCCTTCAGAAACCGCACCATATGAATGCAGATTGTATTGCATTTATTCACATTAAGTAATTAGGAAGTGAACATTAAGTTGACAGTAATGTAGAAAAATGTTTATTTATAAGGCTTAATAGCTACAACCATGCCAATACTTTATACGGTGACAGTATCTCCTAAAAAGGAGTATTTTCGAAAACATTAATGAATTAAATGTTAGGGACATATGGAACTAAATTTTTATTGTGCTAAACTGAGCTAAGAAATGGATGTATGTAACTTCATAGTTACCATGGGAAAACTGAGAGAGAATCCAGTCAAACATGAGCTCCTTAACTCAGTGTTTTGCAGATATGTTTCAGTAGTTCAGCTTGTAGCTGTTGTATATGCTTATATTTCACTTAGAGTTATAATTGTTTTCCTCTTTGCTATTACTTTGTGTTGGTAGGTCTAATCTGATCTATGATAATGTTTTTACAGAGATTTAACAATTTACATTAGCTTTTCCTCCTGCATTTGGACTTCACTAGTTATCTCTTTGAGAGCTAAAAATATATATGGCTACTTTATGTTGTATAGTTGGAAACTGGCCCAATCTGCAGCGAATAATAGGTATTCATAACAATATATTTAATTTGATCCTTCATTAGTCTAAAAAACCTGTTCCTGCTCAGATCCTGCAAGCATCTCACATGAGGTAAGTGAATATTCTGTCTTTGTTCTGGGATTTCTTCAACTGTCAGGAGAGTTTTTCCCAACAACTTAAAAAAAAAAAAAAATCAAGTGTCTCTTTTTACAAAAGCCGTAATAATAATAAAAAAAATGCCACTTTCTTCATTATGCTAAAGCAATTAAATCTAATTTTTCTTCTGTTTCCATATATAAGCAACAGCTGGACATGCTATCCATGGGTAATTAAATGCTTCCAACTGCCTATTAATGAAAGTGGTATCTCTTTAAACTAGAGACAAAGTACAGCGTGGGCACATTAGAACACATCAATTCTTGCAACATATTTAACACACTCCAATGTACATGTTTTTTCAGCATCTGAAGAGCATCCCCCTGAAGTCCTGATGAGACCTAGGCTAGGCTTACTGCAGCTTTGCAGTGATCACTGTCCCTATCAGACAGACAGCCTGTAAGGCATTCTGCTGAGATTAATGGCAGACTTGGGCTTTGCACCTCAGGGACAAGTGGGGAATACAAATGGCCCCTTTGCATGACTCCTTGCTGCCAAACACAGCCATCTTCTCCCCAGCAGAGTCACTGCTTCCAAGAAGTTTTTCACCTCTAGAGAGGGACCAATCCAAGCAACTTTTTTTTTTTTTTTTTTTTTTTTTTTTTCCAACTTCTAGCAGTAGTTGAGATTTAAAAAAAAAAAAAATTGTAAAATAAATAGTGGAGTTGGCATTGTAAGCCACTGTAAGCTTATCAACCACTTACTCCCTCACTGGATAAATTAGATGACTTTATTTTAGAAGAGAGCATTCATTGAGACCTTTGTATTAATTGAATTGTGTCTGATCTGGCTTGCTATTAAACTGAGTTTACATTATTAAGAAATGGCAAGGTAGCAGTGTAGCTCACAGTTAATAATATATGACATTTTTTTCTTTTTCTTCTTTCTTTTTGAAAATTCAATTCTTTTTAAAAAATTCATTTTAAAGATTTCATGTAACCACTGTTTTTTTTCTAACTCTATTAAGAAGAAAATGAAAGATGTTTGAGTTAGGGCTGGGGGTGGGGCAGCACACGGAAACAGCTTTTATTGTTTAAAAGAAGTTCAAAAGAAAAAGTGTATGTGCCAAGCTTTTGTAAAAGCAAAGAATAAACAAACATTTTTCAGTGAAAAATGAAATAAATTGCAAGGGCTTTTAAGAAGGTACATCTTTTTTTTAAATTTTTTTTTTTTTTTTTTTTTTTATGTTTGAGCCATTGAGTTAAAGCTTTTAATCTCTTTATTCTGACATATTTTCCTTTATTTGAATTTTCAGGTTTCATGCTCTATTTATATGTACTATTTGTACAGGAGGATAATTTTTAAAACTGTACATATAGGACAGAGAGGCAACCTGATTCAACTTTTGTGTAGATAGATACAAAGTAGAAGTGAGCACATGGAAGACTTTGAAATTACACAGCTGTAAATTTGGAGTAAATGAAAAGAAAATTAGATGTAGAAGAAAATCAAGTCATGGTAAGAACATGAGAAGAGCCTACTGGTTCAGCCTGTTGGTTGACATAGCTCATTAGTGTCTCTGACAGTAGCACAGGAAACACTATTACATATAACATGCAAGCCTAGCAATTTCTACTATCGATTTTCCACATACTCCAGTGTCAAAAAGTGGTGCATGAGGCATATTAGAAACTGTTGGGTTCCTGTAAGTGCCATTCGTAGACCTGTTGCACTTCTAATCCCTTTCTGAACCTACTCATTCTGTCTTCCACAGGCTGCTATGGGAAGGTTTCTGAAGTATCTCCTCTGTGCACAAAGAATTACTTTCTTTGATTACTTTCTTTGATATGCTTTTAAGTGACTTCTTACAGCTTTTACTGAGTACTCCTTGTTCTCATATTGTTACTGAACAGGTTTACATTCGGATTATCCACTAGTAATAAACCTTCATTGCGATTCTCCTCAACTATCTCTCCAATTCCAGAATTCTTAGCCTGGTCCATCTTCTTGATTACTTTAAATGCTTCCTACTGTACTCCTCCAATTTCATGGCACCTTTGAAGCATGGAGAACAGAGTATTAAAAATGGAAAACCGCACACGACTTTATATAGCAGAAAATTGCGTCCTCTGTCTTGTTCTGAAAACCTTTTCTAGTGATGCCCAATATTTTGTTGTTTTCTTTTATCTGCTGCTACAGATAAAGTTTTCTTTTATCTGCTGCAGAGATGACTGCATGATGGCTTTCCTAAGTTCTGCATATTGAGTTGAGCACCATGGAGCACAGTTCACATTATTATTTCCAGATACATTGCCCGTTACATTTATCTACACTTAAGCTCATTTGTCACATTTTTATTTCATCAGTTTTTAGAGGTCCTTCTAAAGTTCTGATAACTTGGTTTCTTTACTAGCCATATCAAAGACTTTTTGAAAATTCAAATATATCCTGTCCTCTGAATCCTCTTAATCCGTGTCCTTTCTGAAATCTTCAGCTCTAGCGGGTGAGAGAGAGAGAATTTCATGTTATAGAAGTCATGCTGGTTCTAGACAGTTTCTACCTCTGTGTTCATTGATCTTACTAGTTATTATTGAGTCTAAACTCTTAGCAGGAATAGAAGGATATGAGAACAGCTCAGGATTTCTCAAAGGCTTAATGAAAGATCTGAAATTTTTTTTTTGTAAATCATGTCATGCACATGCTCTTTGTAATATGCCTGTAGAATGCAGCTTTTTAATATCATAGGCATTATTTATTATTACAAATTCATTAAGCATGGAAGTTTTCTACTTGCCAGTTTTTATATCCTGCCAGTGAATTATCAATTATTCAATAAACCCTGAAGGAAGAAATTGGAATAAAAAGATGTGGACATGGTGCTTCCTCTGTGCACTCGAGGTCTTCACCAGAAAGTAGTCCTTCTGCCTGGTACAAGAACTTTGCCCTGGCAGCCCTCATTTCTAGAAAGGCATGGCAGCATATTGGTTTCAGCTTGATCAATTTCATCCCATTTTTTACTGTAATAAGAGCCTGAACAAAGAATAGAAAATTATATTTGCAAAACAGTATTCCTGGTTTACGTTAGATCCTACAGAGCTTTTGCCTTGACACTTCAAACACCAAGATCAGTCTTTCTCCATTAGCACAAGCAGCAAGATAAATGTCTGGTCTTCCCTGTTCAAGACTCTGAAATGCTGCTTGTCTCAATTCTTTGCTTAAGTCAAAGAATGTGATCGATATTTTGGTAGTTTGCATGTATCTATTACGAATATATTAAATACATTACATATGCACAATAAAAATATACTCACCCTCTATAAATTCTATTCTGTGTACACATATAAACTATTGCAATTTAGTTATTTACTGTGTACTACAAGAGCTATAAAATGCCACTTTCTAAGAACACAACTGAGGCTTAAGTCAGCATTTTTATGATATCATCTGTACTGGGAAAACATTAAGGGCTCAATATTTAATAAACATAATAAACATCCCCATGAAACAAATTGTTCATAAACTACCTGTTTAATTTTTCAGGGTTCCTGAACCACATATTTTCTTATTAGTTGTGAGCCTGCTGGGTTGCAGGATAGATAGGGCCTGTCAGGGATAGAATATAATGTAGCGGTTTTATGAATTATTTCTGTGAGGAAAAGCCTATTACAGCTGACAAGAGGATGATGATATTAGCCCATCATCATTCAGATGGCACCACCCTTCCCCCTTTCATCCATCAGACCTCTTGTATGGAGGCTGAAAGCCATACAGTCTTTGCATAGCCAACACAAAGACAAATACTGCTCTTTTTCTGCGTCTATGAAACATTTAGTATTTCATTTTGAATCATGGCAGATGACAGTAACAAATGGCCTAATGAATCTCCCTTATTGTCCCTTGTGAATCTGAAGATGAGCTAAGAGTAAAATCTCTGTTTCTTTTTTTGGACATGCTCATTTGAGATTGAAAAGCTTTTGCTGCATTTTAATAGTATTCTGTTACTGAAAATTGGTCCAGTAAACAAGCAAGCAACTTGCAGACCATGTTACTATATACCATTCTTCACCCTGCACATGGCAAGTATTATTTGGGGGTAAGTACTTCAACCAACTTTGGCACAATTATTGAATACAATGTACATATGCAAAAAAGCTTTATAAAAACAAAAATGAAACCACATAAGGAAATTCTGTATAAAAAGAACAATAGCACACCAATGGGCATAGTAATACACCAGCAAATTGCAGACCTGTTTTTATCACTTTTCTGTTTTATTGAATAACAATAGACTAATGATGTCAGCAGTTGACAGCAAGAATGCAGTATTGTCTATAGTAATGTATAAGATCTGATAGCGTAAACAATTCTTCGTAAGTGGTAGCCAGTAACAAATCATTACTGCTGATCTTTCTCATCTTACTCCCATCCAGCCTACAAACTGAATGCAGCTATGCAGCCTTCGTTTGCAGGAACGCAGGAACTTTTAAAGGCAGAAATTAGCACTGCGGCTAGAAATGGTTCATTGTGCACAGCAGGATACAGTATTCCTGCTACAAGGCTTTGCTCTCCTTTGCTCAGTTCCATATAGCTCCGGTACCTCAGCTCTGCTGCCCCTGTACCTGCAGTATGCCTGGGTTCTACCCTCACAGCACCAGGCCTGCCCTGTGCTACCCAACTGTGCCCAGCCCCCAGCCCGAATAAAGCACATGCTTCTAGAATGCTTGGGTCTCCTATCAGTGCAAACCTAGATAGAGATTTATAGAGAGAGCTGTCCTGTTCAGTGATTTGGAGAATTAGGACTATGGACTGCAGCATGAACATAGAAAGCCTTAATGCTCACCAGCCATGTTTATGCTTCATTCTGGCCCTGAGGTGTTCTACTGTTCTGTACATGCAGACATAACATGACTGGTCATAGGGGAGCAACCTCTTTGCTCATTCTTAAGAGCTGCCATATCCATTTCATGGATGTATATAATGATGGTGAGGTCACATTTGCTCCCTTTTACTTCAGAATGTCTTCCCTTCTATTTATCTCACTGTTTTTTTTTTCCCTTTTATCTGATTACTTCTATCCCCAGAACATTATGATTCATTGAGCTTTGTCCTTCTGTAATGTCTCCCTTGATTCCCTTTCAGACAACAAACAAGTTTTGCTTTCTTGAAGAACAGAGCAGTGGAACAACAAAGACTCCTTTTCATTAATTATGAAAACTTGTGAAAGTAATTCAGCAAAATGTGCTTGCTTTGTTTTGCGAGGGACACTAACAAAAACGTCCTGCCTTATGTATGAAACTTTTTACACAGATTTGTTTGTATCTACTGTGCATTTTTGACGTGACAGATCATAATGGCTCTTTTAAAGCCATTACAGTTACCAAGTAAATCCTTCTTAGTTCAAGTACATATAATTGATTCCCATAGACTGTAATAGCTCCAAAACCAAGGCAATACCCTTACCAAACATAAAAGCAGTGGCAGGACTAATACATAATAGCAGTCAGTTTTCACCACCATGGTACTAGAAAATGATGCAGTGCTAACAACATGCCTTTTTTTATTTGCTGATTTTTTGGCACAGTACAAGGGCAATAATTTCATGGTATTACAGTGGTATTGTTCCTGCATACTACCGGTAAAGCTGTAAATCCTCAGGCATCACGGCAGTTATCCTTGTAAATTAAGAATGCAAAATGAATGCAAAACAAACAAATAAATAAACAAACTCTACAAAATACCCAAGCAGCTTTAAAAATCTTACCACAAGTTACAGTGCAATAGTAATTTAAGCAGCATTTGGTATACTCTAAACTCCAGTAAAAGAGAGAAGGACCTTAGGTATGCTCTACAGCCCTCTCCTGTAGCTGCAGATTTGTATTGCTCTGGAATAATTTTGAAAAATCCTTTCCAGAGGATCTTTACAAGCAGTGAAAATACAGATACAATAAACAAGGTGGCAACATACATCCCTGCCTTCTTACTTCATAAGGGTATGCTTATGAACACAAATGACCAATGACCATAAAAGGAAGGAGAACACCAAATGTTATGTTGACAAAAAGAGCTATTTTGTTCTCTCATGTTCAGAAAATAGAGGGAGTACAACAAGAACTTCCCCCTTTTTTTTGTTGTTGTCCTGAAAGAGTTTATATTACAATAGAAAAAGGTGCTGTAAGCTTCAAGGAGCTAATGTACCTCTGTAAAGAAGTCTCAGTGGAGATCATAGAAATTTCACGTGACTCCCATGTGTTAATAATGTCTTTGAATATAAAATCCAAATTAAAAACTGGAGCTGAATAAAATACTTTTGTTAAAAGTAACATTTTGAAATGCTGTCAGTAACTATCATAAATATTTGAGAAGTTAATATTTTAATCTTCAACTATAGCTCTGAAAACATTTTTAGTGACAGACAGTGCTTCATTAATAGAGTTCTGTATGTCTAATTGCTTTAGGCAAAGTGGGTTGCATTATTTTGACACATGACATGCAATTAGTACATGGTCACACGGCTAAAGGAAGATTTTACACCTTTTTTCCTTCCACATTCAGAGCAGATAATTAGCATATTTTTTCTGCTTAGAATAATCATCAGACCCTTAGATCAGAAATTGCCTAATGAGGTAAAATTCCAGTTGTTGACATTAATACATGTGACATTTTTTTCAGTTGTAAAAGTAAACCTACTGCTGCCATTTCATTTACTCTTTCCAGCATGTTCTTAAGATTCAATTATGTTTTTCTGAGCATGAAGCTGTTGAATAATCATATCTTTTGAAAAGAGAAAGATGAATGGTGTTTCAGTATTTCAGAATATTTGCTTGATGTTGATATTCTAAGAAGGTTAAATTTGGTTATAACTTGCAACCATCCCAAGTAGATTTCTGTTGTCTTCACACAAAAGTTAAGCTGCAGTCATGATATGCATGCTCCTTCCTTATGAACGTTTTTTACATATTACACAAAAAAAGTGAATTCATTTTGCTCAGTTATAAGGCCAACTCGATAGGCTGTGCATAATGCACCTATGATGAAAGTATATTTTGCATAAAAACATATTTTGAATATTTTGTGTTGAAGAAATAATGAAGATTTATTACAAATAAGCTGATGCAACAAAATACACTCTGAATACAGACGTAAGCGTCTTCCCAGAAAAGAAATTTTGAACATTTCAAAAAAATAACTAAATTAAGTTAACAGATTTTTTTTTTCTTGCATTCAGAACAAATGCACATTACCACACTTATGCTTAGTTTCTAAGGAACACATTTATATGGGACAAATGAAGTACTCTGAATTTTCATTTCTTCCTTCCTATTCAGTTTAACTTTCCCCTTAAAAATTTCAATGGTATCAGGTCTTGTTGCTCTATCCATTTTTCTTGATGTTAGTTATATTAAGTATGGATACACAGTGTAGGATGTACAGGGATGTTTTTCAGAACTACAACACTCAATGCTACTCGTAAGCATAAATAGAACAGAGATTTTGAATATATATTTTTTTATTTTTCAGATCCTGCAATTCATTTTAATACAGATAACAAAAAAACAAAAACAAAACAACAAAAAAAAAAACCCAAAAAAACAAAAAAACCCACAGAGAATACTTTTGCCTCATTCCAAGCATTTGATATTTACTAGGATTTGAACAGCAATAGTTACCGCTTTACATTTACAAAAAATAAAAAAGGCAGAGACATTTACCTTTGCTGGTTTGTGTTTGTTTTTGTTTTTTATCCCTCAAATTGACAGATGAATGTATTAAAAACAAGCTTGCTAATTCCTCATGAAGGATGAGTTGTGTGTGATTATTCTGACCTGGCTACTTCACAGACATCGCAGGAGACCATTCTGTTTTGAGTATTGATGTTATTTATGCCCCAGATTATTTTTTCCCTGTAATTTGAGTTTTATTATTAAGTTAATTAAAAATTAGCAAGATTAATGTAATCATAATCTTTTCTTTCAGCATAGCTGTCCTTGGCTTTTGTTTCCTATGACTATTTGCTTTGAGAGCAGAGATTCTTTTAGCTTCCTTTATTAAAATTTCCAGCTTCTTCCTACATGATTTTATCCTTCTTAAGTGATGAGCAATTGCTGTTTTAAAGACTCCTGGCAGATTGCTAGTCCACCTTTCAAGTCTTTTATAAAAACACAAACAAACAAACAAACAAAAACCCTACCTCTAAAAAGAAAATAAAAACAGCGCCCACTTCACATCAGCATGTACAAGTTTTGAGGACCGGTGAAGGAAGATACAAGTGTATGTTTAAAAGAAAAACAAGAAATACTATCGGGAAAAATGTAACAAGACAAAACACTACAGTAAAACTTATGTCAGCAACTGGAAAGGAGGAGAGTAAAGTCTTTTCTGTCACCAGTGTCACTTCACCTTTTTAACTCATTTCCAAAGAATAATGCAGAGGTCAAAGTAAAACAAGTATCATGCATTTGTCTGTGGCAGAGTAAATTTTCTTTAAAGTGGCTGGTATGATGCCACGTTTTGAATTTTGGAGAAAAGTAATGTTGATAGAATACTGATGTTTAATTGTTGAGCAGTGCTGCATGGAGCCAAGGATGTTTCAGCTTCTCTTACTGCCCTGCCAGTGAGGGAGAACTGAGTGGGCACAAGAATCTGGGGGAACTACCAAGACAACTTATCCAGGCTGCCAAAGGAATGTCCCTTACTATACGGTGTCTTGCTGAACAACAAAACCAGGGGATTTGGCCAGTGGAGGGCTGTTGCTGATTGGGACTGACTGGGCTTTGGTCGGAGGATGGCAAGTAATTGCATGGTACGTGACTTGTTTTTTATACATATTTTTGCTATTTTCACTTCCTTTTCTAACCAATTAAACTATCTTCTCCACACACAGATTTTACCATTTTCTCATTCACTCCTTCATCCTGTTAGGGAGCAGTGAACGAGTGGATGTGCAGTGCCGAGCTGCCAGGTTTAACCTGCCAGGTTAAATCACACAAGAAAGAAGATGAAGAAATTATAAGTAGCCAAAGTCTATTGGTGGCTACTGAACATAGTAGTAGGGGTGAAACCTCCACTTTTGACTCAGAAGCTGCTTGCTCTTGTGACTGCCAGAAATGTGGAAGACATGTTCCTCTAATATAATTTCTTATATGCACTTACATTTACTCTTCCCTTATCTTCTGATCATTCATCAGATTGATAGGTAGGTATTCCAATCCAATCTGACTGGCATCCATAAAATACTATATTAAAAATGTTTACAGATAAATTATAAAGTCTTAAGGCTGGTAAGCTTTACATGAGAACATTTCTGTTCTAAACATATGGCATGTAGGGTTAGTTTATTAATATTTTTTTTGCTTTGCCATAAGGTAGTCATGTACCACTGATGCTACGCTTTGGATAAAAGAGAGCTGAGAGTGCTGATAGGTAGATATAGCAATGGCTGTGCATCTTCCACTGCATTTTGAGTTATGTTGTGCTGCTGTCCAAAAACTTGTGCTGATAAGAGGAAGAAAAAAAAAAAGTTTTCTAAGCTACAATTATGTTTGCAATGGGAACGTGACAGTGAAGTTTAGTGGCAAAATGCAGTAATTCAGCAGCAAGTCATAAAGAAACCAAATGTCCACAGATTATATAACACTGTCACAACTACTACATTCCAGTATAACACTGAAGATCAAATTGGCAACAGCAGTATGTGAGAAATCAGGAACACCCAAGAGGGTGTCTTTGACATTTTTGTTTAAGAATACATTCACTGATCTTTTTTACTACGTAAAGGATAGAGAGACTAAATAAACAGATTAAAAATTCCACGCCCAGACAGAAAATGATCCTCACAAATAAACAGATACTACTGTAAATTCTCAAAATTGCCTGAAATTATAATGAATACATACCAAAAAGGTTTACTTCAACCAGGTACATATTTAAAAATATCAATTTTTTAAATGGTATTCAACCAGGATCATGATATAAGTAGATAGGGTTTGTTTTTATAGTGTTGATTTGGATCCATTACTATCTCTTATTATTGTCACTGGTACCAGTAGGTAGATATCTGAAATTAGAGCTAAGCAAATAATTGAATGTTTTGATTCACTGATGCGATTGAAAAAACTGAAAGTGGGGAAGGAATGATCATTTTAGATTGACTAGGAAGTGTTGTTTAGTTCTGGTTCTTCTTATACATAGATCAACCAGGAGAAAAAAATGTTTAATTCTCAGGTTGTGTAGTTATTTTAGTTTTTCTAAATGTATGAATAGTAACTGACACAGAAATGTAAAATGTTTCTTTAAAGAAGCGTTAATTTTTTTTTTTTTTTTTTTTTTTTTTCATTTCTTCCCATTTTGTTGCTGCATGAAACTGTCCTCCAAGTTTGGCTTTACTTTTACAAGCATTTTACAAGTACTTTCTTATTATATATCTTTATTTTTTATTGAATGCAGTAAATTATTACAAATGTTTGTTGGGTTCTCCTTGAAATATCACATGATTAATGGCTTGCAGATGATTAATTTGAAATCACATAGCAATCCTTTTATGCCTCTCTTATTCTTAAGCTCCTCGATTGTTCTAGGAAAAATAGAGGGATTCCATCTGGATACACAGAGATGGGATCGGGAAAGCCAAGGTGCAAATAAATCTGAACTTGGTGAAAGATAAGAGGGAGTTCTACAGGTACATTGGTCAGAAGAGTCAAAGGAGGCAAAGGAGAGTCTTATTATTCTCTGATAAATAAGTGAGAACTGGCTTAAATATATGTGGAGAAGGCTGAGGTACTCAATGAATTCTCTGCTTCAGCCTTCTCTGGCTGTCAAACTTCCCACTTCTCTCATGTCCCTGGACCTTTAGATGAGTGTTGAGGTAGTATAAGAGCAGAGAAAACCAAGGACTGCCTCATGCGACTAAATGTATACAAGTCTGTGGGACCAGATGACATGCATTTCAGAAGAAGCTGGCTGGTTTGGTTGCTGAGACAGTCTCCATCATATTTGAAGTCATGGCTGCCAGGTTAAGTCCCAGATGTCTGGAAAAAGAGAAACACCATGCCCATTTTTATAAAAGAGAGAAAGTAAAACTCAGGGAACTGCAGGCCAATGAGCCTTACATCTGTGCCTGAGAAGATCATGGAGATCTTTCTGGAAGCTGTATTAAGGCACATGTGAAATGAGGACGTAATCCAGAAGAGCCAGCACGGCTTCACCAAGGGCAGATCATGTCTAATCAATCTAGTGTCCTTCTACAATGAAGTGATGGCATTGGTGGGCAAAGGAAGGCCAACTAATGTCATTTACTTGTACTTCTGCAAGGCCTTTGACATGGTCCTGCATCACATCCTTATCTCTAAATTGAAGAATCATATTAGGGTGGGTCAGGAAACTGCAATAATATCTCTTTGCTATTCCCTTTCACAGTTCCAGGAGGCACGTAAAAGAGAAGAATCCTTGAAACATGTGGAAGGCATTATACCTGCACCATGACCCTTTTGGTCAGCTCTATTCTGGCACAAAAAAGCAATGCTGAATCATAGTTTCTTGTAATTACATATAAACACTTCTCAGAATTATGATCAGGCTATGTTTAATGTACTTGCATATTTTAGTCTTTTGAGTATAAAATTAGGTCTAGGGGAAATGGTGCAGATGCTTTTCTGATTTTCTAGCTTTGAAGACTTTTTTCCTTGACATCATTCATTTTAGGATCACCACATGAATTCCTGTACTCCCAGATTAATGCACAGGCTGTTACTTCATTACTGATGTGGCAGAACTTTCAGTGTCAGCTAGAACTTCATTTCAGGAAAAATTTCAGAAGACTCTGAGACTAAAATTAATCAGATTGCCTAATCTGATAGCAGATATTGTACATTCTTTAATTATATGTTCTCTTAAAATATAAAGAGCAATACAAAAAAGTTTCCCTTCCAGTACTTGTATTGTTGCTCAAAGAACTTTCTACATGTGTTTGGTGAAGACAAAATTAAACATTCATTTGAATACAGTTTCTCTCAGTTGCCTTGCTAATAGAACTGTTCAGCAGAAAGATTTCTGCAGTAGCTACTATAACATGTATATGTCATTTTATTCTGTTAAGCTCCCATGGTTTATCCTAGATTATCATTTTGGTTTCTCTCTTCTTTGTCCTGATTTTTCTTTTGAATTTATCTTTCCCTTATCTTTCGTTATGAGAATGCACTTTCTTTCACAGTCTCTTCTACACAACCTGAACTATCCTATTTTACAATACTGGATTGCAAATTTTTACTGAAAATGATTCTTATGAAGCAGATTCTTGCCTTTGTGTATTATTTGATGCCTACATCTTGTTGCATGCCCATACAACAGAGAAAGATGCAAGGGTACTGACAAGGCAAGAGCTCAGAAAAACAGACTTGTATAGTAAGATGGGAACTGAAGCACTCTCATGAAATTTTAGAAGAGCTACAATGTTATTGTGCTATACAAATAGATGAACTAAATGTAAATAGGTGCATACTGCTGGACTCCAGCTAACGCTCAGGAGAAGAAGAAATACCACAGATGTATACGCACCAGTAAAGAAAGTGTCCTTTGGAAGGATACACTAGTATACTAAAAAATAAAAAATAAAAAAATAGTGATTAATCAATCTGGGGGACATACAAACAGAAAAAGAAAGGCATAACATCATTAAAAAGAAATGAAATGTTTATACTAGTTCTATCATGAGTTTGAATGTTAAAAAATTAGTCAGCAATATAATTTCAGTTTCTTGTACCATGTTTTGTTATGATTTGCCACAATTGTTAAATGAAATTAGGTTGCAGTTACCTCAACCAGAAACACAAAAAGGTTATGATTTTTTATTTCAAAAGTCAGAACTTATAGCTAAAGGGCCTATTTTTATCTGAAAGAGCGCATATAGCACTAATTAAGGGTAATGGAAATGACATGCGTCCACTAAAGGGAAAATGTAAAATTTCATTAAAATATTTGTTAGCAGTAATAGCAGCGATTAAGGAATAAAATCTCAGTTTCACAGAACTAGGTCATGACTGATCACTTTTCGTAGAAGTTCTTTTTAATCTAGCTGTGGAAAAAAAAAAAAAAAAAAAAAAAAAAAAAGTATTTTTAATAGCAGTAAGAAGAATGAAAAAATGTACATTTCACCCACAGATAAATACAGTATATTTCAGATACTTTCAGCTGGAAAAAAACATTTCTGAAATGTAAAATATATTTGAGTATGCTGCTCATCAAAACAGATGCATTATTCTAGCACATTTGGTCCATCTTGGACTTCACAATTTATTATTTTTTATCTTTGTATAATACAGTATTCATTAATATAATTAATTAGTAAGATAAAAAATCATACAAATATTTTTAATAATTCAGTTTGTCTTAAATGCTTAACTGCTTGCTGAAAGCATCAGTTAAGAAATTTTCTGCATTCAGTTGTTAATTTTACTGTAGTTGTCACTTGGAGAAATACAAACACTTGAAGCAAGGAAATTTCTGTTAGCTCATTTTTAGTGTTTATTTTGTAATACATACCCTGTTTAAAGGATGAATGTGAAACACTTTGTAAGTAGGCACTTGAGAAGTTTTTGAAATACAACATTTCAGTAAGTAAAAACTTTTCTTATAACCTATATATAAATTATTTATTTCAATCGTTTGGGAAAAACTAGCCATAATTATAATGACTATTTAATTAAGTCTTCTTCAGATCTTGACAACAATGCTAATAAAGCAAATGAGGAGATACAAGTAGTTGATCTTAATTGGAAGAGATGACATTATTTACAAGAATAAATGACGGTAGATTATCTCACATTCATAATTATCAGTGATGGGCCTACTTCAAAAGATGTTGTGGTTCTTATCTGCTTTAGCTAAGTCCCCCAAATATACGTATTCAGACTTTACGTGTCTATCTGAATTGTAAATGTACCAATTTTTCTTACAGAAAGCAGCTGAGTTGCTTCATGGACCTGAATGCGTCAGTGACAGAACAAGAAAAACCTTTTATATCTGCCATCCAAGCAATCTCTTCCCCTTTTCATCTTTCAGAGCTGCAAGCTCTAGCCTTACAGCTTCTCAGTGAAGAATATATTTTATTATCTGGAGAAAACGATGGCTGGCTGCTTGATAGGAATACACTGAGCATCCTTATCCTCTGAAACCATATGTCTGCACCTTGCCAGGTGGAGCTCCATGTGTCCTTGGGAGTACTGGTATCTCTCTGTCTCCCAGACCTGGCTGACAAGCCTAGTACATCAAGAACAGTGCCTTATAGTTCCTGGCATCCAGTTATCTCCTCTATAGCTATGCCAAATTTGAACAGAGGTCCAAGAGATGCCATTGAGTCAGTATTTGCAAAATGAACTATTTCAGTTGTATTTTCAGACTCAGGAAAAAAGTAACATGTGGTTATTTTTTAATTTACAAGCACAAACTTTTATGCTGTATGTTTAAAAAGGTCCCAAAAATGCATGTAGTAAAACAAATAACACTCTTATCTAGGCACTAGCTAAGACTGCTGCATTGTGAGAAGCATGTGTCTCAGTCTGTTTTTCTCCCAGAAAAGAGTTTACAAGACCCTTTGAGAGTGAAATGCTCTTTGCTGGGCATATGGGGTAACTAAAATTTTTGGAGTGCCATCATTTCCCATCATGTTCTGGTATAGCGTAGCAAATCTTGTTCTGGGAAAGGATTTGTGCCAGCAGGGTAAAAGACACCCTAAAACTGATTAATATCACTTTTATGGACTACTTGAGGGTATTACAGGGAAAAGGAATGAAGCAATTTGAATCTTCATATTTTGGAGTGGATACTATGCTTCCCATACTGTTTCTCTGAAAATAAAGCTCACATTGATCAGCAAGTACTGTAAAGGGAATCTGAAAATAACATTGGGAACATATTTTCTGCTGGGAAAAGATATGACTCTTCTCCTTAGGACACCTATATACTCTGCAGTGAATCACAGCTTCAGGTCAAGAGGAAATGCATTTACTCTTCTTTAGTCTCACTGATGACTTTGGTAATAGTTATACTGTTTCTGGAAATGTGGTGATTTTCTCATTAAAACTTCTTACATCAGGATAACCTCATCATTTTGTCTTCTTTCAATCCCAGTTATTCACCTCTTGCTTGATGGCATGCAAAGACCTGGAGGAGTGATAGTAGCAGTACCGATGTTTGATAACTAGTGACATAGCAGCAGTGAACTGTGGCAAGTCTATTACAAAGAAAGAAGTATCATTCCCCTCCCTCTACTAATTTTTCCCTTCTTATCTATCACTTTCTAAATTGCATATACAGAATTTTGATTTGTACTGAGGAACTCCTGCATCTAACAAAAATAGGGCATCTAGGATAATAATCTTTCCAATAGAAGAAGACATTGCAGCTGAAATTAAGGTGCAATTGCTATCTTGACTTGGTTTATGATCATGTTTTTAAAAAAATCCGGAGAAAAATTGTCCATGCAAGGAAATAAAAAAAGAAAAGAAAAAGGTCACTCTTCAGGCTATATCTGCCTAAAAGCATTTCCTTAGATTATTGTTCCAAATAAATACCAAGCAAAGTGCTTTGTGAATGACAATTAAGCCAGTAAGTTTTAATCCTAACAAATATGCATATAAAGCAAGAGCATTTTTTAAGATTGATGGATCCATAGACCTTGTCTTCCTTATTGGACTACCTCTTCTTTAGTTCTTAAGAGTCAATTGATTTCCATCCAAGGAATCTGTATGCCTGCCATATGTTCATTTTTCTGTGGATTGCATTATTGTTTCCCAAACAGTTTATCATATGTTATTTATCACAGAAAGGACTTTGATAACTTTGTGAGGGCTCCAGAGACCCTCTCTTCTGATGATTAAATCATGGTCTGTATTGCATTACCTCATATTCATAATGAATAACTTCATCCATCAATTACTGCACAACTGTTTTCATATCATGTAATAATGATATGGACTTTCCACACCATCTAGAACACAGCATATAGCAAACAAACCTGCTATCAGCTAAATATAAAAATGAAATTGAAAGAGCAGAGCAGTCAACAGCTGTGGCATCCATAAATGCACAATCAGTAGTTAAATCATTGTGAGAAATGACACACTTTCTTCCACAATCAACAATACTGTACAGTGTATTATACAGGAACAAGACAAATCAAGAAGTTGCAGCATGCAATAGTACTAATTGCTACAGCCATTTGCCTCTTACAAAAATCTTCTAAGTCTCATACTGCTTGTAGTTACATCATTATTTTAGATGAACAGTCATTAAAATATAAATTTGCTGTAGTGGAAATGTTAAGTCATGGACTGAAACAGTGATTGAGCACCTGGTGGGAAGGCAGGTCCAACCCAGAGGATCTCAGGTGCATACAATGCAACTGAGTGACCAGAAGGTCTGGAGCCAGGATCTACCCCTTCTCAGACCTCATTTAAAGGTTGGCAGTGGGGAAGTTATCTTGCTTGCGATCCCTGCCTACCTCAGGCTTTCTAAGGGTAAGCAGTGTTGTTGCTGATAGAATTATTTTGTTTGTTTGCTACACAGTGTACCTATCACTTTCAGTTACTGCCTTGTTTTCGCTTATGCAGTCAAGTTGGAGTAGTGGGAGAATTTCTCTACTTTGAAGTTACTCATATTGAATTATATCACATGATTTCAGTGTCCTCTTGCAATTTACTGCTTTGAATTCTAACCATATTTTCCAAAATATTTGAAATGCTCTTCAGCTTGATGCTATTTTCAGATTTTACAATACACATTCTATTTATTTACTAATAAAATACAAACACTTGATTAACAGGATATATGGTCCCCCTTTCTTGCAAATCAACCTTATTAAGAATGCGATTGATAATCACACCACCGTATAGATTGGAATTCTGTTTCCCTCAACAGCCTTTTAGTAGGAATTTAACACATATATATTCTTACGCTTGCATATGCTGTCTTGATTGTTGTAGCACCCTACAATGAGCCCAGAAGCCCTGTGTGTTTCATGCCTAAGGGGTTAAATTTAATAGCACAGTGATGTTGAGCCTAGCACCACTGCATCCATTAAAAACAGTATCTATATTTTAGTAGGTGATAGCAACAGACATAATACTTGTCATTGATTTTATAGGTTGAGTTTGTATCATAATATATTGACATTGTACTTTTATACAAGACTTGCTTCAGGGTGTAGCTGCATTCAGTACTGAATAACAGGCTAATAAAAACTGTAGCAGAAACAGCTTTACGACCCTCCATTGACTTGTGTTTTACATTGTATTATCTTATTGCAGACATCTGAATTAAAGGTTAACAAACACTATTTAATGGGTTGTCTGAATGAATGTACAGTACATGAATACATGCCTAGCAATGTCTATCAGTTATCACACTGTACATGCATTGTGATTTGGGTGAAGACAAGACTGTAAATGGGTGATGGCTCCTGACTGACTCTTTTTAGTAGTATGAAATAGCACATTTTGTTATACTTTCCCCAATTAAGTGCATATCTACCATTAAAGCAATCTGTCATCATTTTAACAATGTCATTAACTTCTACGGTTTCTCACAGGCGCTTTGTTCTTCCTTCAAAATTAGCAGCACATACATTTATATAGAAACTTCAAAATGCAAAATAGGGAAAACAAGTTTAAGAACCTATCATCTGTAAATTACATAAATAATAAAAAAGTGGTTACTGAGGAAATGTGACTGCTTTAAAAAGAAAAAGCACAAAGTACTTAATCTGCAAAAATTGTACAGTAATAAAAATGTACTAACCTATAAAAATATAAATTATTTTTCTCTCTCTGGTAATTATAAGGAAATATGGTTTACCATACTATAAAAATGTACTAACCCTATAAAAATATACTAAATTATTTGTCTATCTATAGTAATTATCAGGAAATATGGTTTACAATAGAACAAAATGTACTAAGCCTGTAAAAATACACTAAATTATGTTTCTATCTATAGTAATTATTAGGAAATATGGTTTACAACTCCTAAAAGTAGCATTTTAAATATGAGAAGGCTGGCTACAAAACTACAGTATCAACAAAGAGACTGATCCTTTACTATTTTCTGCTCATGTAAGCATAACTTACTTTAGATGTCTCTAGTAAACAGAGGAAGGGCTATTAAATGCCATGCTCAGCAACGAGTGTTAAAAACAGTGGCAAAGCATGAACTGAATCTTTTTTTAATGGGTTATTTATTTCCTGAAAGTTTCACATTCATATTACAGTGATGTGTCAGGCTGATGAAGTATCAGCTCCAGAAGCTAGCTTTGTTAACACTGCACTTTATTTTTCTAAATATAGTTACGCTGTTATCCTTTTAAATTTGATTTCAAGTAATATAAATCAAGTATCCTGTTTAGTTAAAAACTAAACAGTAATATATTCATCTGAGTTATAAATTTTAATTCTTTTCAACTGAAATGGGGCAAAGACTACTTGCAAATATATTGCACCTTGCCCATAACATGCATAGTCTATAGAAAACGTCAAGGGACTACTTTTCAGAAGCGTCCAAGTCACTTAGTGTCCTAAGTTCTAATTTCAGAAGTGTCTTAGTACTAGAACTTTAAAACCATGAAGCCTATAAGCCCTTCATCATAGGTGTTTAATGCTTTTAAAATCGTGTAATATGGATAATAGCATAAATTTACTACCTTTCAATGAGGATTCTGTCACTTGCTTTTACCACTTCAGACAATGACACATCAAATCCTAGGTCGATTTTAGGGACTTAAGAAATACTAGCTGTATTTAGAATAGTAGCCATCCTTTGACTCAAGTGCTTCTTTGTGCTCTTATCAGTTTCTTTAAGCACTCTTATAATAAGGACTGTGATACTTCTGTTCCTCAATGGAATTTAATGTTGGACTCATTGCTACCAGAAAACTGGCACTGTTACATCACTTCAAATTGTTTTTAATATAAATATTTGTCATCCTGTATATTCTGAGTCTTTCATATTATACAACAATACCCTCAATAGTTCAGAAGAACTCAATACTCTTCTATTACATAAAATGCATGTAATAGTCTTCTCCTTCCTTGTAAAGATGGTCTGATATGATAAAAATATTGTGTTCTGTTAATCAAAACCTATAGATTTCCTAGGACACGGGGAGGAATTTATATTAAACAAAATTTTTGTTGGGTGCATGTTAAACAGAGATAGAGCTCATCATAACTCTGAAAAACAATTGTCTCCATCTTATTTTATGCTTTGGATTGGGCATCCTTTCCTTATTCATGAGTGCAACTGTACTTATTTCCTATCATTCATTTCAAGCAAGGGAAATAAGAAACTCCTTGGGTGAAGGGAGCAATTATGGAAGGTGTAAAATATTGAGGATTTGAGTATTCAGAATTCTCTCTTGCTCCATGGTAACAAAAGTAACAGATGAGTAATTCATGTAGGGAGATTACCCAGGTCAGGACTGATAATCTGGCGTCTGTTCCACCTCTGCCACTATGAAATCCTCTGGAGAGGAAAAGAAGAATAAAAATCATCTGCTTAAATGCAAAATGTGATTTCTGTATAATAAACTCAATATCCTACTAAAAACTCTTCTCAACATGAAGCTAAGGGAAACAGAATGGCCTTGTCAGTATCTTGACATAAACCCAGAAAATTTGAGGGGATGTGCCAGTAATTCTACGAGAGCCTACTCCTTGGCATTTATCCAGCTTGATCCTACAGAAGTTTTGACATCAGTCCAGCAAGACAGAAGGCCTGAGTCAGTTCTCCAGAGAGGCTCATGCTTTGACATCCCTGCAGTGTTCGATATACTGATGAGCAGGTGACCTCAAGGACACATGACAAAGTCTACTGCGTTTAGAGGTGCTAAGCTGGAGACCTTATGCTTATGCTTTCAAATCAGTATGGGAAGCTACTGCTTCTGACCAATTCACTTCATTGTTACTCACAAATTGGCAATAGACCAGAAAGTTAAAGATAATAAGCCAGTGATTTCATAGTGTTGTTTCTTCATTTCAAACTGTTTCTGCTGCTGCTTCTTCAAGGGAAGCTGTTGAAAGAGCTTTGCTTTGCCTTATTTCCAGTGTTATATGCTCTAACATGGAGACCTCACAAGTGTTTATTCTTTCTCATGTGGTCAGCAAAGCAGAGGTACTGAATCAGCTCATGAAAATCTATGTTTTCATATAAGTCTAGTAACTGGAGTTATACTGAGCAAAGAAACACTATTTCAGGAATTCAATACTATACTTTACATGGGAATTCAATATCTAGCATCCCACAACTTTAGATTTTTCAAAAGTAGCTGCTTTAGAGATGTTTATACTGGCAGACTTTTGGTCCTCCGTCTACATGGCACTTCTAGGGTTATGAACCCTAAAATCCACAGGATCGTGAGCCTGCAATCATGTGAGCCCTGAGACATCAATGAAAAAGATTGTTGTCTGTCAAACACAATTCTTCAGAGAATTCTACCTTTTTTTTTTCTGCTGAAATTATGGTGCATTTAGGCTATCTGATTTTGGAAACCTCTACCAACACACTTTTTTTGTTCAACATAGCAAAACAGCTTTCCTAAAGATGCCTTTCTGTGGCTGTGTATTTTTTTCAGGTGTACTTAAATAACAAGCTTCTGACTTTATATTAGACAAAAGAGATCCTCAAAATGGTCTTGGTGAAAGCATAGGAATCCCATGTGGTCTGATGACTTCATATGAATATGACTTTAAAACTGCTGAACATTTCAGATAGTCTGGAATAGAAGAGGCTCAGGGAAAACCTTCTTGCTTTCTACAACTACCTGAAAGGAGATTGAAGCAAGGTGAGGGTTGGCCTCTTCTCTCATGTAACTAGCAATAGGACTAGAAGGATTGGCCTCAAGTTGCACTGTGGGAAGTTTGGGTTGCATATTGTGAAAAATTTCTTCTCCAAAAGAGTGGTCAGGCGCTGGAATGGGCTGCCCAGAGAGGTGGTTGAGTCAACATCCCTAGAGGTTCAAGAAGCATTACATGCTGTCTTAGGGGATATGGTT